GCCCCCCGCCCCAAAAAAGTTTTTGCGGTTGCCGCCCCCAAAAAAATTTTTTGGGGGGGGCGCAGGGGGGGGGGGGCCCCCCCCCGTTCCTTTAGGGGGGGAGCCAAAGGGGGGGGTGGGTTTCCCTTGAAAAACCCAATTCGGGGTTTTTAAAACCGGTTTGGGGGGGGGGGTACCCCTGCCCCCCCCCTCCCCCCCCCCCCCCCCCCCCCCAGCGCGGGCAGCAACATCCTTGCTTGCAAGAATTGTTTAAGGAAGTGGCGGCGGCGGCGGCGGGTCCAGGAGCTATGTGACCATTGCATTGGTTTGGAGCTGCTGGCTTTTGTCAGGGTTTGTTCTGTCCCGGTGGTGGCGGCGGGACAGTAGTACGACTGGGCCACGTTTACGGATTTTTTGCTTTTCCCCGGGATTGCTTCCGTGCCTTTGGCGGAGCGCTCCCGCTGCGCCCACATCCCGCGTGTTTTCTCGTTTCGTAAGTTTGGGGTGGGGGGAGATCCAGGTATGCCTTGTGGGGGGTTCCGCGGAATTTGTACCGATCCTGGAAGGGGGGGGGGTAGTTTTCTCCCGAGAGACCGGGGGAGACTTTTTCGGGTTGAGAGACTGTCGAGATCAACGAAGTTGATCTTGATTCAAGCGTTGCGTACACAGCATGGCGTCGTTGTTTTTGTTCTTGGCCGCCGGAGAAGAATTGTGGTGGTTGCTCTACTCTCGACTTTGGTTGTGTTTTTGGGTGCCGCTTTTTTTCTCTCCGGGCATGCGAAGCAAGACACCTCGGGGGGGGAGGGAGGAGGGAGGATGAATTCTCGGGGTCCCGGCCTTTGCTTGTTAAAAAAGTTTGTTGTTCGTCATTGTTGATTTTCTGCGCCGCTTGGTTTCGTAGGTTTTGGCAGGCATTCTTCGTTTGTTTTCCGTCGTCGTTTGCATCGCTCCTCAAGGCATAGTTTTCTTCTTTTGAAAGGCAGCCAGGCAGCCAGGGAAGGCGCGTATGTATGTGTGCCTTCTGTAGCGGCGAGAACTGCTACCGCTGCTGTTGTGTGCGGATTCTCTCGTTGTGTACGGGTGGGTGGGGGTCTCTCGGGACAGCTCCAATCCTCCTCAAGTTTCGCCGATTTCTCGCTTCCTGGTCACCGAAGCAGCAAGGCTCGGCCCGCGTTCAGCTTGAACGGCTCGTCCGCCTCCTCTATTTTTAGTAGTTCGCAGAGACCACTACCAACAACAGCACGAGGCACACAAAACTGCACCATGATGATTACGGGGTGTCCTTGAAGGCGTTTAGCCGCTCGCTATGATAGTGGTTGATCTCGCCTTGTGGTATCGGTCAACCCTTTGTCCAGCATAGCAGGAGGAAAGAAATGAATTGTCTTCGTGGTATACACGGTATTTAACTAGGGCTCCGGGGGGGGGGGCACACATGCTTGATTGTCTTTGTTGAAACAGCGCCGGCGGCGCCGCCGCCGGCGCGCATTCACAGGTTGCCGTTCATTTTTCTTACTGTATGGTCTAGCACACGCGCCTGCCTGTGGCAATGAAGGATCATGATTTTATGAAGTTACGCAAGAACTTTTTTTGCCGGGTGTTGGTGGTATAGAACGAGGTGGGAAGGGACACGGGGGACGGGGGAGGGCCACTCTTGGGTGCTGCCATATAATTGTGCAAACCCTCCCCTGCAGTGTCAAGTTCTTGGCGCTCGCTTTGCAGCGGCGGTTGCCCCTTGTTACCGCCCACGCATGGATGGGGGTGGGCATGTTGTTGTACGGTATATATGGAGGTACTACATGCTCGAGTGAAAACAACTGAGGGTTGGTCAGGACAACGAAAAGCAGCTCGACGTGTCGTTGTTTTTGCCGTTGGATGGATGGTTTGCGTGAGTCAGATCCCGTCCGCTACTCCTGTCGAGAAGGGCCCATCGCGATAGATTTGAGGTCTGATGATGACACACACGGAGTGGTGGGTGATTGTTGGCGGGCATGGGGTGTGCGGGTGTTTGTATTTCTCCGTGGGGATGGCTGTGTTATTCTGGCGCTGGCGGTTCGGTGTAGAATAAGCGACAGCCTTGGTTTTTTTGTGTGTAAAGAACGGACGTGCGTGGCTAATGAAGGGCAGTAGGAGATCGACGTCGTCCTGCGCGAGCCATTTATCCACACTTCAGACTTGTAGTCGGATTTTTGTCTTTGATGGGCGTTGGCGCTATTCGCACTCAGCAATGGGGGCGGACAAGGCTGAGCGTCGTGTGTTAATTGTTGTTGTTATTATCTTCCCCTGGTTCCATATGTCTAAAGCGTTTCCGTAAGCACGTTGGGTGGTAATATGTGGTTTAGTCTAGTCATTATTTCTAAGCAGTTATCTCATTTCTTCTTCTCTGTCGAAGCTTCAGCTTTGTGTGTTGAGCAAAAAAAGAAGAAGCCGGAGGAGGACTAGTCTATGTAATATTGCTAGCAGGCTTATTTTGTCGTGTTTTTTGCCAAGAAGAGGAGGAGAAGCGTGGGCTGCCCCTGCTGCTATGGTTGTACCCTGAGATTCCCACGACTGACTCTCTTCTCTCTCTCTCTCTTGCTCGCTGTACATCGTTGCGTGTGTTTTTGGCCCCTTCTCGACCGTTGGGTGTTGATTGACAGCGCATTGTAGTCGCATTTGTTTTTTATACATCGATCCCTGCAGCCAGCAGGTACAATGGTGTTTCCCCTCGTGCTCATTGCAGCAGGACTACTACTGGTGGTGTAGTATCCGTTTGGTGGGCAGGAGGAAATTTGCGCGTAGGAAATGATGGGCAGGTGTAGTTGTTTTTGTCTTGGCATTTCATCGGCGGCATTGGAGGGCTGGGAGGTGGTCAGATGGATCTCGCTTGTATGTGTAGGATTGTATCAAGGTTGCGCCATCAGGCGTTGTTGCACGGGTGAGAAAAAAACATACATGGGCTCGACCTCTTTCGCGCGAGCGAATAAAAAACCTCCTCTCTCTGCCTTTCATGTGTTTGGTCGCGCACCACTTTTGGTTTGGAATGGTTTGGGGTTTGGGGGGAGGGGGGTAGATCGGGACAGTGCACACACGAAATTTGACACCCACCCCATGTTTGGACAGCAAGCGTTTAATGTAGTTCGAGGTGCTGGTGCTATAGTATTGTGCCCGGACGTTGCTTGCTGTATGAACAGGGAGCCGTGGTTGCTGTACTGTCCCACGGTACGTACTGTCGTGCACATGCATACATACGTTCCAGGGGAGGGAGCTACCAATGGTACAATGTATTACCAGCACCGTGGTGGGAGTCATCTCTGTTGTGTTACACGCGGCCCTTCACCTTGCAAGTATGTAGGATTGTGTCTAGGCTCCTTCCGCCCTAGTGCTACGTATGTATGCATAGATAGTTCCATTTGTTCTATTCTTACTCCCTCCCGTCTTCCTGCTACGTATGTAGTGGCATGGACCGCTCGTGTGTGCGGTGATCGACCTTTGCAGGCTGGTCGTTGAGTTCTCGCCGAACACCCTCTTGATTTTCGTTTTGTGCGTCGTTTTTGAGAGTATTAGTCTATTTTGCCGCGCATCGAGCGGCAGTTAAGCCAGACGTGCGAGTAGAGTGTGAGAGGAGAGGAGGCCTTTCGTAATGTGCGACTATGGTAGTTGATTGAGTTGTTTATTTCACTTCTGTCCGTAGGTCGATCGTCTTGTGTATGACTACCAAGAGTATGCTACCGCAGTAGGTCTTGTCGGGAACAACGATTGATGACTGCTTTGAGGTGGCGGTATCATCTGTAAGGCGATGAAGAAAAATCTCTTCTTTTTTTTTTTCATGATGCAACGGGCGAACTCTTGCAATGAAAAATGGCAGAAATACATCAATCAAACAAAGGGTGGAGGCGGTGTGTGTGTGTTGTGTGTTTTCCTCCGGAACTCGCGTGGACCACACACACACCGCGTGCTGCCTCCCAACCCTGCCGACACTACACAATGCAGAAAGAAAGGCTTTTTGCACGTGTTGGATTAATCAGTCACTATTGTTTCGTAGGGGAAAAGTGCGTCAGTCACCATTCATTCATTTGTCTCGCGCGTAAAAAAAAATGCTTTCACATTTAATTCGTCTCGTTACCCGTTGTTCCGTCATTGTTACCGCAACAAAAAAAAAAGAATTCTACAAACGAACAAAAAAATACCGAAAATACAAGCCGTCGAACAGATAACGGCGGCCATGTAGAGAGTTCACATATGTACCCCCGGTGGTCCCCCCCTCCCCCACAATAACAGAAACGTTCAGATGCATGCCTGCTCAGCACTTTCGGACATCCGTTGACTCTGACCTGTTTGCTGTTGACGCGGATGGCTTCGGCGCATGATTCAAAGAAAAGTACACCCGAAAGGGAGAAAAAAAAGAGCCAAAAACGAAACCCGTCGCACGCGACAAGAGAGCCCACACCGCTATATACCCGCGGTCCTCAATCAACACGGCCCGAAACCAGTATTATAAAGAGTAGCACCGCTTTAACGATCCCCTCCGACCCAAACCGCCTCGTCGACGGAGACCCGGCTTGCAATACTACAATACGTTCTCGCCCCCTCCCAACTGACGAATACGGGGGTAGCCCCGGGTCGATGAAACCCAGGCCAACTCCACTACAAACTCCCGCGAGATACAATACAGGAGTGTAGGCACACCGTTGCTCGCCGTCCTCAATCAGTATTCCAAGCACGTGTCTGCTACTGCCGCTGAATGACGCCCCCCCGTCCGAAAAAAGGTGGACGGACACGACGGGCCGACCAACAACGCAGGCCAGGACTACGAACTCCCGCGAGCCTCGTACGCCGAGAGGAGCGCGGGGCCGGCCTCCGGCAGAAGACCGACCGCCCGGGGAAGCATCTCCGTAGAACCCGCCGTCGCCGCCGACCCGCCGTCGGCGTTGCCGCTGCCCGTGGCGACGGCGACGCTGCGCCGCTGGTGATACTCGTCAAGGCAGGCCTGGACCACGGACCAAGCCCCGGCCTCGGCCATGTAGCTCGTGTCCGGGGACAGCGTAGACCTTCGATCACAAAACGTTTGGTGTGGTGTGGTTTGGTTTGTTTTGGTGTGAGTGGTGTTGTTGCGTATGTGTTGATCGATGTTAAGTTCATGCGAAGGAGTGGCATTATTCTTCGCCGTAGGCGAGAAAATTGGCGTCCCTATTTTCACCGATTTTGCCCTGTTTTGCCTTGTCTTGCCCTGTTTTAAGCACAAAACAGCTGAACCAACTCAACGCACGTCGATCCACGTATGTAGAGGGAACCGTTAAACACACAGCAAAAATCTGTCTTGTCTTTCTCCCCATTTTTCTCAAAAGCCTGTTGATCCAAATACGTTTCACGCTGTGACATGACAACCAACAGCCGACAACATTGATTGGTGTGAGGCTCGAAATGGTACTCTGTGGCAACTACCAATAGTACGTATGGGGTGGATAACGCGAATCTATTTAGTCTTTCAGAGTTTCACCCACCTTTCGGTGTAGGCTTTGCCGCCGCTAGCCCTATCGCCGCCGCCGCCGCCGCCACCGGCTGCCTCCGCTTCTTTCCCCTTCTCCCGGGTTTCGGCCTCCTCCGCCGCACCCCCGCCTAGGAGCCAGGTGACGTACGCCTGCTGCGACATGCCGCGTGACTGCAAAAAAAAAAAAGGACGGAGGGAGGGAAAAACGAATGAGGGAATGGGGGGTGTGTGTGCTATGGGAGAAAAAGAACGGCAGTGAAAGTGTGGGTTCGCGTGATGTGTCACTACCCGTGGTTGGCGTGAAGGAAAGAAACTGCCCGTCTGGCTGTACGTACAACAGAGGGAGGGTAGCAAGCAGTCTGATCGAAAAACTCGGATTGGAGACAGAATAACAGAGCAAGACAGAAGAAACAGAACCACACGGCCGTTGAATGCTGCAAGCTCGCTGTCCCCACACCAGCAGCAACAATGCTAGGATCCAGACCTCGGCCGCAGGTCGGAAGGCAGGTCGCAGCCAGCAGCTCCAGAGAGCTCTACACCTCATTCAGAACTTCCCGGTTCCAGTGCGTGCGTCATATTTGAAAAAAGTTCCACGGGCGGGCTGTGGAGTACTCTTGGCCTCCTACCAACGCTTGCTGAGAGGCAAGGCCATTTGTGTCCTAGGCTGTGCTGCGCTGGGACATAGCATGCATACGTAGACTTCCGTTGTTCCTACATCCCAGCCAAACTTTGTGTACGGCCATCCTTTCATGTCCGTCAGCCTGAGTGCTAGGCCAGCACCGGGTCCTCCTCTCCCTGCCTTTTGCCCCAGCCAGGGAGAAAAGCACGCGATTTTAATAAAAAAATGGCACGCGCACACACGCACACACGCACACAAATTTTCACCCGCCAGGAAACGAACGGACGGCCTTCGCCCGCACCTAGTACTTGCGAGGACACAGGTAGAAACAGCTTCTGTTGCAAAGAACAGAGGTTTTCCCGGACATACTAGAAAGCACATAATCATAATTACTCAATTTTTTGGCTCGCCGCCGGGACCCAACGTAAAGTCCTTAGCGCTTCATAGATACGAGTTTTCATGCACTCGTAGTAAAACAGCAGTACTGCTTGTACACTAATGGTCCCGGTTTAGCGGTCCATTAGTGTCACAAAATGTTATATATAACCACTATTGATTGAGGGCATCGCCGCTAAACCGTATTGGCAGCTATATACTCGAGTAGTACTTTGACTACCGCGGTGCAACTGCGTGCCACGAGATTTTGGAACCGCTATTCAGGGCATCCCGCCAAACAGGGAAGGAACTAACCGCTAAAC